GCACGCGCCGCCCATTTCTGGCCGGCAACTTTCAGCGTCATTAAGCCGCTGCGCCACCGCGTCCCCCTATTATATGAGATAGGTAGCCATATAGTATAAGTGCTATAAATAAATACAGATAGTCCCCAGTTTAAGAATGAGTTCCATTCCCAAGGTCCTTAAGTTGAATTTGTATATAAGCTGGAACAGTATTATTGTATAATACTGTATACCTAGTATTGTGTGATTAACTCAAATGATTGTGTCTTTAACTCAAATCATTGTGCATTTAACTCAAATTTTGCGACAGTAGGCTCCATTCTTAACTATGGATTGTCCTTAAACCGGGTGTTCTTAACCCAGGAACTACCTGTAAACATAGCAGTTAGTTTCAGGCCTCTGGATTGATTTGGCAAGGCATCTTCCAGACACACCGTTTCCAGTTCTTGTGAGATGCAATGGTTCCTCAACTTGAAATGGCATCCCATTGCCCAATAATCTAAATAACTCCTGTTGGTACCGTATGCATAGCCAGTAATTGACTTCCTATCTCGGCCATGTCTTTCAACATGAAAAATTAAAAGAAACACTACCTTTTTTCCCACCACTTTTGCTCTCCTGCTTAGTGTCACTTGCAGGGTCTTTGAGGCTATGTGTGGCTTGTCACTGTGTTATTTGGCAGTGAGAGTCTTGAGAGTCCTTGTCAGATCCATGCCTCAGGAAGGCAGAACACTTTTATAGATAGGCTCTTGGGTGGGCAGATTGCTGCTTCAGTCTCAGTTGCCACCACCCATTGCTTCCTCTATCTCAGGGCAGAGGTAGGAATTCCCTTTGCAGAGTCTCTTGAATGTTCTCCCTCAATCCCTGAGGCTAGCGGTAACTGTTCTTCATCTAGAGATCCAAAAACATTATCAACAGTAAGCTCTGGAATCTATTCTGAAGCTCCAGAGTATAAGAACTCTTTTTGATAGATAGTGGCCCTTTGTGTCATTTTATTTCATCTTTGCATCCTCTTGCTTGTGTTTTTCATAGTGGTGTTATTTCTTCCACAGATTCTTCCTGTTTCACGTGTATCTTCTTCCTTGATAATGGGGGGGGGGGGGAAGGGTATCTGTGGCCCCTTCACTTTCTCTGGCAGTGACCCTGCACTTACAGCATGTACATATAGTTCTTGTTGCCTTTGCGGAAGAAAACAAGTAGCGCATCCCCAAGAGGTTACAAGAGCAGTTCCCTCTCTTTTCAGTTTCCTGAATGACTTTAGTGAGCTCACTAAAGTAACCTGCTGCTTCTGTTTTACAGGAGAAAGCTACTGTCAGTCAACTCAACTTCTGTATAAGGAACAGGAAGAGGACTTCTTCACCTTGGTGTCAAGCTGCAAAATGTTTGAGGCTGGCTCTGGATGTTGCAATAAGTCTAGAAACTAAGAACTTAAAAAGAATTGGCTATCACAGGCATCTTCAGGATCTTGCTGTTTTTGTCAAAATGAGTAAAGCGGGAACAATGCACTTTAAAAAGGGGGCAGGGCTTGTCGGCTTGGGAAGACACTGCTTTCATCATTCTGGTCTCCCTGATCTTGCAGGCGTTGCTGCAGCCACTAATATGTATATTAGTTGGAGCAAAAACATAGAAAAGAATGGTACAGGAGATCACCTAATATTTTCAAAGTAAAGAATGTATCTATTTTTTTAATGGCTAAAAAAAATAAGCAACTTCCCAAAAAAATAAATAAAAATTCTTATATTTTGCTTTGCTTTGCCTTGGTAGATTATATACTTTCAACCCTAGAAGCATATCTGCATGCAAAAATAGTGTCAATGCACAAAACAATTTGAAACAAATCAATTTCTTATTCAAATATGAGTGCTGATTTCATCTATCCACATGCAATTTTATAACTAAAGTATATGCCACTATTAACCATGTACAGTGGTGCTTAAAAGTTTGTGAATACTTTTAAATTTTCAATATTTCTGCATAAAAGTGAGCTAAAATGTAAACTATTCTTCACACAATTCCTAAAACTAGATAAAGAAAACCCAATTAAAGAGATGAGTCAAAAACATTTTACTTGTTCATTTATTTATTGAAAAAAATTCTCCAAAGCTACATATTTGTGTGTGACAAAAGTATATGAACTTTTGCCTTCAGTAACTGGTGTGCCCCTTTGGGCAGGAATAACTACAATTAAATGTTTCTGATAACTGT